TAATAAAATCCTAAGAGTTTAAAAGAAAAAAAAGTCAATGAAACGCTTAAAAATGTCCCTACGACTTCGTATCTCTTCAAGAATACGCGTTTCCAAAGGTTCTCAGAAGTTGAGAAACATATCACGAGCAAGATTATCAAAGAAGCCCATCATTGGTCATCACAAAAAAAAAAAGAAGAAGAAGCCCATCACATATTTAGAATATTCTCTTTTCTCTTTCTTCCTTGTCTCTTGTTGCTCTTTCGTTTTCCTCCTGTTGCTTTGTTCTTCTGGTTGAAGATCATCTGGTATTGATTGCTTCCTATTTCTCACAGCACTCTCTGTTTTTTAAACTTGTTCTCCCGTTTCCTTCAAGCTTCAGAAGAATCATTCCAAATCAAATATCCATTCCTAGGAAGTCTTCTAGTTCCTGTGTCTAGCTACCATGTATCTCTTTAGCTATTAATCACTCCTTTTTCTTCCCAATTTTCAGATCAAACTTGTTTTGCTGTTTTTCACATACAAGCTACCTATCAAAAACCCAAAAAAAAGAAAGTCTTTTTCCTGCATTAGTTTTGTTGTTTTCTTGTGAATCATATGCCCATAAAAATCCCAAAAAAATTCCCCTCAACGGTTTCCCCCCTTCCTCTTAAGTTTACGTATAAAATTGTTTTCCCCCTCAAAAAAAGGTTGGCGTCTGGTTTGAACAAAGTCTGTTGTTTTCCATTGTGATCAATCTTGCATATAGAAAAATCTCGGGGGGGAAAAAAAAAAGGTTTGCCTTGGAGAATTTGGATTTGTTGTTTTCTTGTCAATCATATGCCCATAAAAATCTGAAAAAAAAAAACGTGGAAGTGTCTGGTTTGAAGAAAGTCTGTTGTTTTTCGTTGTGGTCAATCTTATACAAAAGTCTCCGAAAAAAAAAAACAAATCTTTGCCTTAAAGATTATGGTAGTGGCTGCTTCATCTATAGAGTTCACGAGAGACAAGAAGTTATGCTGATCAGTAGTGTTGTTGGTAAATTCTGACTCTTATGGTTTTTTAAGTTTTCAGATAAAATAATTAATCGTGAGTGTCATGATTGGAATACCTAATCTGTTTCTTATCAATCACAGAACTTTCTCACAGCTGAGGCAAAGACCACAGCCACAGCATATCCTCATCTACTTCAGGTGACTTTCCTTCCTTATTGTTGTTTCTGTCAGTGTTGTTCTTATTGATGATATTGATAGAGATGCCGCTTCTCGTTACCTCAATTTCTGTTTTTTTTTTTCCTTTTTCCGGAAATAACTTATTGCCTAAAGCATACAGTAGATGGAAAGAGTTTTATCCTCGTCGGAATGAGGGACAATCTCAGACTGATTTAGTGGGTATTTGGCTAATATGAAAAGTCCAAAGCATTTTTTGATAAATTGAGATAAATTTTTTCACATATTTACTTTATATACTATAAAATTACTTTTAAAACTATGATTTTGATTAAATCCAAACACCCTCTTAATATCCTACCAATTTTATGCAAAAATGGACCACCCTCCCATTCTATCCGAAAGCTATCCCACCTATGTGAAGAAGAGAGATCAAATGAGTTGAATGATATATTTAATTCTTCTCTATTAGTTAATATATACCTAATTATAAAAATAGTTTTGATTCTAAATATAAAATTTATTTTTTATGTTTTATTTTTTTTAAATTATTCTTATTGATACTTTTTAATTATACGAGGATATAATAAAATCGGTTTAAGATATTTTGAAAAAAAAAAGACATATTTATTATAATTAATTAACTTATAATTTTTTAAATCTAATTAAATTAATTAAATAAATTTTCTATTAAATTAATACAGTGAAGTGCATCTTATATGGACATTAGTACTAACACGTGTCATATCTAAATCAGTTAAAAATTACAGCTAAGCACGAGCTGGATACATTTACACTAAGAACCTACTCTTCTGACCTTGGATTTCAATAGCAAAGCTAGGCCATGAACTTTGGGTTTTCGAACTTTATCTGCGCCTCTTTAATTTATCAATGTTTAATTAAAAAATTAGTTAAAATTAGTTTAAAACAATAAATATATAAAGTATATATATTTTTTAAAAGATGTCCTTATTAATAAAAAGAATAAATTTAAAATATAATAAATAAATTAAAAATATATATGAGGAGTAAAATTGGAAAAAAATTATTAAATATTTAGAGAAAAATAAATATTATCTTATTAAAAAAATTAAAATTTAACTATGCCATTGACACCTGGACGCTTTTTTTTTTGCCCTTTTTGGGGGAATAATGACACCTCAGTCGTTTCCCTATGCCCCATGCTCTCCGTCCTCCCTGGAGACCTGTATCCAATTGTAAATGACTGATGGGAGGGATACGGGAAACAGGAAAAGTAAGAAACCCAGGGCATTTATTATTAATAAATTATGGAAAAAAAACTTTAAAGATGTATTTAGATTGAAAGTGGTAAAACTGATTTTTATAAACCTAAATTAAATTAGAGTTAGATTCACATTTGTAAAAGGTCAGTTAAAAAAACTAAAATTTATATGGATGATTAATAAAAAAACAAATTTAGATATAAAATGAATAAAAAGTATATAAACTTTATTAAATAGTAATGTTTTATACTACATGATATTAATATGATAATTGTAAAAAAAATCATTAAAATTATAATTATAAAATAAAAATATCGATTAGTGAGAATTTTTTTTTGCTTTTTCTTAGTAAGAAAATTTTGAAAATACATTATAGATAATTAAATATATATAATTAATTTGGAAAGATTAACATAGTTAAATAAATTACTTTAAAATATTTATATTTATCTTTTTTAAAAATTAATTTGCAAGATTTATAAACTAATATGTAATCTCATAATACATATAAGTATTTTAAAAAGATTATATAATATGTAATATATTTAAGTAATTCATTTATTTTTTTAATATCTTCAAATTAACGTATTAATATTTTATGTTAAAAGGCTAGAAAGCACATGTTCTCTCTCTCCGGCAAAAAAGTAAAAGTACCCATGCAGACCATATTGACTTGCGGTGCAGAAGGCAGAAGCTACTCTAGGGAACTTTGGAGAAAAAGTCAGTTTAGAGGATAAGCTCATTTATCCTATCTAAACGCCTCTGATCTTCAAATTTCTTTCTAACTTGAGCTTCACATTGTTCAATGTGCGTTCACTTCCAAACGCATACCAAACACGTTCTAGATAGTTCCTCACGTCCTAAAATGCCTCTACCTACCAAAGACGCTAAATAGTTCCTCACATCCTAAAATGCCTCTAGGTATCGCCTCAACCTTCATTTGGGGATGCTCATCAAGTGAAGTATTTACATTTTATAATGCAAAAAACAATTGTATTGGTGTATTCGGGTTTAGTTTGAACCTGACGAATTTCTTAGAGCTAGCTTAGAAAAACCAATTTTAAGAAAAACACAAGTTTTTAAGGTTTATTTAGACTGGCTAGCTTGGCCTAAATTACCAATTTTATTTAGGAGGTGTTTGGATGAAATCAAAACCATGTTTTAAAAATACTTTTACGGTGTACAAAATAAATATGTGAAGGAATTTATCTCATTTTGTGGAAAAGTGTTTCTAAACACCTCCTTAACCTTGACATCTTGACATAGAACTTATACTTGGCTCTTGGTCTTTTTCTGCTTTATTTATACCCCTTTTCTTCGATCTTTGATGAATTTTCTCTTTTTTCTTTTTAAATTGTGGGCTTTTTTTTTTAAATGTAAGAACAGATGTCTAATCTTTGTACTTCTAATTATTTGTTACATTTTTTCCCCCAAACTTTATCTTCTTAAAAGTGCCTAATGAGCTGTGATATATATATATATATATATATATGAATGTGTGCTCTTGAATCTTAAAAAGGCTTAGAATGATTTTGAAAACCTATGATTAATCTCTTCATATAAATTTAATATTGTGAAGTAACATCATACCAAATGTCACCTCTAATGATATAAAATTAAGATACAGTAAATTGATCATCACGAGTCCAACAGTGATACGCTTGCAATTGGGTCATTGGTGCTTGAACTAGTGTATTGATTGGTGGTTCAACGGCCCGTTTGAAATGTAAAACCTCGTTTAGGCCCAACATTATTTTGGGTCAATTATTTAGGCCTATGTGCTAGTGAGTCTAAGTCCTTTTCAAACTTTTTGCTAATTCAGTGGGGGTTAATGCTTAGGTTCAAAATGACTGTTGTCTAATTGTATAATTATGGCTCCATCAGACCAAAACCAATGGAAAAATTGGGGCTAATCATTTATAAAATTCATAATCAATTGAAAAAAAATTAACCAACAAAGTTGAATTTAATAGAAAGTACTAGTTTCCTATTCACTTAGTATTAGGACTCAACAAATACATATGTGAAGTCATCAAAAGTTATATATATTAATTTGTAAATCTGATTCATGAATGAGACAACCTAAATTTATAAATATGAGAGTCTGACTAGTAAAAATTAAGTTTCATGAATCCTATTAATTTTAAATATTATTTAAATTCCTATTACGATAGGCCGTATCTCACATGAGATTGTCTCTGGTAAGAAAATATATGCTTAGTGAAAAAATGAAGAACAAGAACAAGGAAGGCTTGCATTAAACTGAGCAAAGTAAAGCGACGTATTCCTAGGGAAGACAAGACGAAAGCAGAGACAAATACTCACATGAATAATACGCAGATTCGTTGTTGGGGTAAAAGAAAAAGAAGAAGAAGAAGAAGAAGAATACCCAGATTCATTGAACCCTTCGAAGCTAGAATTAATAACTCGAACTTGAATTTGAGAGCTATTTCGAATTTACTACTAATCATACTGCCTTTTATTAGTTAAAGCCAAGCAATTGCATGCATGGGCGTGGTTTATGTATGCGTCCCATTTTCTTCATTTTCTTCGGGGAGTCATTATTATAACTGTGACCCCCTGTTTATCGAAGCTTTAAATTTCTTATCGTTTTATCCAGGAAGTAAGAATGGAGGTTCTCGCTGCGTTTGTTGGAAAAATAGCAGAGTTAACTGTTATGCCCATTGGAAGGCAAGTGGAATATTTATTATTTTACAAAGGGAACTGTAAGGAGCTAGAGAAGAAAATTGAGGAGTTGAAAGAAAGAAAAGTTCACGTCGAGCATGATGTTGAAGCAGAAAGAAGGAACGGAAGAGAGATTGAAGATGAAGTACTAAGTTGGCAAAACAGGGTTGACTATACCTTGGAAGAAGTAGAGAAACTTCGTGAAGATCAACCTCGTGCTAGTGTACGGTGTTGGAAATGGTCTTTTCCTAATTTGATATCACGACATCAACTTGGTAGAAAAGCAAAGAAAATGACATTCACCATTTCTGAACTGAAGGACAAGGGGAAGTTTGATGGTGGAGTTGGGTATGTTCCTACTTCTAGCATGGGTAACTTAATTTTTGCGACTCGAGGTAGTGAAAAGCTTGACTCAAGAAACTCAGTGAAGGAGGACGTTATGTTGTCTCTAGCTGACCCCAAAATAAGCAAAGTTGGAATTTATGGGTGGGGTGGAGTGGGGAAGACCACTCTAGCTAAAGAAGTTGCCAGACATGTTAAGGATAGAAAGCTGTTTGATATGGTGGCCATTGCAACTATATCCCAAACTTTGGATGTTGAAAGAGTTCAAGATGAGATTGCATATCAATTAGGCTTCCACTTGGATGAGAAGACTGCAATTGGAAGAGCTGACCGCCTTTTTGCAAGGATAAAAATGGATAAAAATATCCTTATCATACTAGATGACTTGTGGGAGAGAATAGATTTGGACAAGTTGGGAATTCCATCTGAGCAAGATCTTAAAGATCGAAAATTATCATTCACTTCTAAACGTTTAGATATTTCACAGAAGAATGAAACTTATCAGGGTTGCAAATTATTGTTGACTTCTAGACGGTTAGATATTTTACAGAAGAATGAGACTCAAAGTAACTTTCTTATAAAAGCATTAGATAGTGCAGAATCATGGAGTTTGTTTGAAGATATGGTTGGTGATGCTGTTAAAGATGCTGATTTGCAGAACATAGCAACCCAAGTGGTTGAAAGATGTGCAGGTTTGCCTGTTATGATAGTCTCACTTGCAAAGGCACTAAAATTTAATAAGAATATTCATTATTGGACAGATGCCTTGAACAACTTAAAGAGAGTTGATAATAGGGACATGTATGGGACTGTTTTTTCAGCTTTTGAATTTACTTACAACCGCCTGGGAGATGATGAAATGAAGAAAGTATTCTTGCTATGTGGTGCAAATGGACCGTTCATGTGGTTTAGTGACTTGTTAAAATATGTGTTTGGTTTGGGTGTTTTGAAACACATAGATACCATTAAAGATGCAAGAAATCGGCTGTACAGAATAATTGATGACTTGAAGGCATCTTGTTTGTTACTTGAGAATGATGCAAACAAGACCGATGAGATCGAAATGCATGACATTGTTTGTGAAATAGCTGTTTCAATTGCTTGTAAGAGTGAACATGTTTTTGCATTGAGAAATGATAGGATGCAAGATTGGCCAAGCAAGAGATTTCTTGAAAGGTGTACTCAGATAATCTTAAGTGATTGTTTTATCCAAGAGCTTCCTCAAAAGTTAGACTGTCCTAATTTGAAATTTTTCCTCTTAAGTTTCAATGAGAGTTGCACTTTGAAAATTCCAGACTCTTTTTTTGAGGGAATGGGAAGCCTTGAAGCATTAGATTTGACAGGCTTGATAATACCTGCACTGCCTATATCTCTTCTTTCCTTGACCAAGCTTAAAACATTGGTTTGTATCAATGCACTTTGAAAAATATGGCTGGAATAGGTGTTTTGACAAATTTAGAAATTCTTACTTTTTGGGATTCATACATAGTGGAGTTCCCGAGTGAAATAGGGCAACTGACTTGTATAAAAATGTTGGATATGACAAAGTCTAGAATTAAGATCATCCCATCCAACATTTTGTCCAAGTTGACTAAAATAGAGGAACTTTATATGGGCAATGCCTCAATTAAGTGGGAGGAGGAAAGTTCAACTGAGCAAAACAAAAGTGCTAGTCTTGCTGAGCTTGGGCGTTTAACAAGCCTGACTACTTTAGAAATTCAAATTCCTGAGGCTTGGATGCTGTCGAGGGACATGATGTTTGAAAAGTTAGAGAGATACAAGATTGTCATCGGGGATAAATGGGAATGGTCAAGGAACAAAAGAACCTTAAGGTTGCTAAAGCTAAAGCTTGATACTAGCATTCATTCGGAGCATGGGATTAAAGCATTGATTAAACAAGTGGAAGATTTGTACTTAGATGAAGTCAATGGAATTTTAGACGTGCTTTTTGATTTGAATGGAGAAGGATTTCCTCTGCTAAAGTATCTCCATATCCAAAATAATGGCCAGCTTCAGCATATCATCAACACAATAGAGTGGAATGAAACTCATGTTTTGTTTCCAAAATTGGAGACACTAATACTTCACAATCTCAATAACTTAGCGAAGATATGTCATGGTCCACTTCCTGTTAATTCCTTTGGCAAACTCACAGTTATTAAAGTCAAAAGTTGTGACCAACTGGTATATCTCTTTTCTGTTTCGATGGAGAAAGCTCTTTCTCAACTTGTTGAGCTCCAAGTTTTGGAATGCAGTTCAATGAAGAGGATTGTGTTAATTGAAAATGACGATAGTGGAATAAGTAGTGATGAGAAGATTGAGTTTCATTCACTGCGCTCCTTGAGTCTTTGTCATTTGCCAGTCATCCATGATTTTTGCTCAAATGAATCGACATCTTTTATGACAGCCACATTATTATTTAATGGCACTAAGGTATGTTTCTTTTTCATTCGATTTATAATTTTGTTATTTACAATTTAGATCAAATGACTGAATCACAAGTAACTATCACAATGATCATGTATGGTATTATTTAATATATATATTTATCTAGAAGTAGAATGTCAAATTATTAATGTAATGAGGTACTCCCTCTGGATAAATTATATTTTTAGAGAAAATCATAATTTTGTCCTAACAAATTTGTTAGATAAATTATAGACAAGTCCTAAGAATCTCTAGTATCAATTTTAACACATGCAAAATATTTAAAATGCTATTCTAAACCTTCGACCTTTGAGCACTATTGATGGGTGACGAGCTGGTAAGAACTAGAACCAGCAGGGCATTAAAAAATTATCATTAATATTTTATTAATAATTAATTTAAATATGATGATTATTTTAATAATATTTTCTTGTAACAATTTACAAGCCCATATGCACTATTTACAAGTCATGCATTATTTACAACTTATGTCTTTTCTCACACGTTCTTCAAATTTTATAAATCCATTTAAAATTTGGTCTCTTCTTTTTTTCGCAAGCTATATCCGTAAATTTTACAATTCTTGGGTTGTTATTTTTAACTCATAAATTGCTTCCCAATTCATTTCATATTACAATTGATCAGTTCTCCTTTGAACTGCAATTGAAATTTTTGTAATTACAAAACTCAACAACTAACTTTTCTCCGAGATCATCTAAACCTGTACATTTTTTATATATAGATATACAGTTTTTGTTTTTATTTTTAAAGAAAACTTCTTATTATGTTGGGTTATTTAATTTAGATTTATAATACTATATTCGTGTCACAGTAATCTATTAATACTCAAGCTTGGCTGGCATGATCTTCAAGCTTGTTTAACAAATGAATTTTCCTACTTGTCTAAATTGTCTAAATGATAGTTTTGTACAAACACATTTACTTTTTAGAAGATGTTTACATAATAAATTTTTACAAATCCATTGTAATATACCACTTGTTAAAATTAATTCTTATGGGGTGAAAATTTTTTCAATTCGAAAAAAAAATCAATTTGCAACATTTGAAAAACTATAAAAATACAAATTTTAAAGTTTAACTTATAAATTTTAGAAATTTTTTTTGTAAATAATGAAAACTTTAAAAATCTTACAAGCAATTTATGAGGTGAAAATAGAAAGAGTTTAAAAAGAAAAGAGTGATAAAATGTGAAGAAATAATTTGTAGAATAGGTGAGAAAAAGCTTTCAATGGATTCGTAAAATTTGAATATGAAAATAAAAACTTGTTTGGTGGTGAATTGATGCGAAGTTCTTTGCAAATAGCAGACGTCGACTTGTAAATTGTTATCGGGAAATATTATCATAATAATAGTATTATAATAAAATATTATTGAAATATTAATTATTTGCCATCCTGTCCACGGCCAAAGGCCTATAAGTCATAAAAATTGCACCCAAATTCTTTGACACTTATATATAATTTATTAAATTCATGAGACCAAATTATCAATGGCTCTCTCAGTGTCGATCAAGCTGTCATCTTTCCCTCTTTTTTTTTTTTTTTTTTTTCATTTACCAAGTTGAAAGTAACATTTTTTCAATCACAGGTTAGTTTCTCTAGCTTGGAGACCCTGAAGTTGAGTTCAATCAATCTGGAAAAAATTTGGGATGATCATCACCTTTCTGCAGCCAATTGTATTCAGAATTTGACTAACTTGATTGTTGAGGATTGCAGAGGCCTCAAGCATTTATTCTCATCTTTTGTGGTTGGAAGTCTTTCAAAACTCAAACACCTTGAAATAAGTAAATGTGATATGATGGAGGAAATCATTGCTCCAGATAGCCTTGCAACACAAGAGGTATTACGATTAGATTTGAAATAAATGTTTACACCACAACATCAAACATTTGCGCTTGTGCACTTCTATTCAATATCTCTCATGTTAAATGTTGGTTCTTTTTGGATTTGTAAACTGTGCTTTGTATCATAGGTCCGGTTCACAAAGTTGGAGACCATGGTAGTTAAAGACATGGAAAGCTTGAAGAAAGTATGGCACCTTCAATTTGATAGGTTAAAGAGTCTGGAGGTAAGCAATTGTGGGAAACTTGTGGATATTTTCCCATCTGATATGCAGGGAACGCTTGGAAGCCTAGAGACTTTGACTGTCAGCAGTTGCGGTTCAGTGGAAGAGATATTCGAATCAACCGCCAAAGGAATCCATAATGAAGACGAAACAGCTACACAACAAGTCTCACAATTGAAGAAACTCCATCTATTTGGCTTGCCAAAGCTGAAACACATTTGGAGTAGAGATGCTCAAGCAAACCTTTGTTTTCATAATTTGCAACTTGTGCGCGTTGAAGACTGTGAGAACTTGGAATACCTTTTTCCATTCTCCATCGCAATGCAAGCTACTCAACTAGAACATATTACCATAAAATATTCAGGGAGGATGAAACATATTGTTTCAGGCAACGAAGTGATCCCCATGGACAGTCCAGTCAAATTTGAGTTTAATCGCCTGACCTCTTTGGTGTTTTGGAGTTTATTGGAACTTGAAGGACTTTATGCTGGAAAACATAGTTTACTATGTCCATTATTAAGGGCATTAGATGTCCGCACGTGTTTGAAATTGAAGCTCTTCAAGACACAAGGTACAAGAGCCCGAGATAGAGTTTTTGATGGTAAACAGCAAATCTCAATGCAGCAGCCTCTTTTTACACTTGAAGAGGTATAGAAGAAAAAAATCTTAATTTATTTAGACACCATAAATATCTCAATGCATGCATTTTTTTTTTCATAATATCCTTCTATATTAAAAAAAAATTAAACAGGTTTGATTATGCAGTCTATTTATCACTTGTTTCCTACCTCAATCTTATGCCTATTTATGTTGCTATATACAAAATATTTGACATATGCTTTTCACCTGTGTTACATATAGGTGATTTGCAACTTGGAGAAGTTGGCCCTAAATAGTGAGGATGCAAGCATAATATTACAAGGACAACTTGCAAGAAAACACTTCAGGAAGCTCAAAATTCTTTATTTGGCAAATTTTGAAGATGATCACGCTACTTTTCCCTATTGGTTTCTCCAAAACGTAACTACTCTCAATGAGCTACTTGTTGAAAAGAGTTCTTTTAAGGAGATATTCCGAGAAGAAATACCTATACAGGACAAAGGAAAATTTAAGATCGGAACACGAATTAAATCATTGACACTCAATCGATTGGATGATCTGGAGCATATATGCAAAGAAGGATTTCAAATAGACCTAGTTCTTGAAGAGCTTGAATACTTAGATGTGGATAAATGTTCCAAATTGAAACACTTGGTGCCTTCCTCTGTTACTTTTAGTCACTTGACATATTTGGCAGTGGAAAATTGCAATGGATTGGTTCACTTAATTACCTCATCAACTGCAAGAAGTCTAGTAAAATTAACAACAATGAATATAACGAACTGCAATTCACTTGAGCAAGTTGTGGTGGCAGAAGAGAGGGAAGGGTCTGAAAATGAAATTGCATTTAACAGCTTACAAATTTTGGAGCTTGAGTGTCTGCCAATGATCAAGAGTTTCTGCTCTAGTAACTCCGTGTTGAACCTTCCATCACTAGTGAATGTTGTTGTTAAGCAGTGCCCAAGAATGAACATCTTCTCTATGAAAAGCGCAAGCACCCCGAGTCTTCGAGAAATACAATCAAAGGAAGAAGATGAACAGATGTATTGGGAAGGTGACCTAAACAGAACAATAAACAAGATGTTCGTGGATATGGTATGTTTGATTTGACCCAAAAATTTCTGATAAACATAAGTGGAAAAAGATCATTCTCTACATAATTACAAACTTTTTCTAACTTATAATGACAAAATTTTATGGACAAACCATTGGAAAAGCCAAATGTTTATGTTTAGTTTGCTTTATTAAAGCCCTTTATTTCTTTTTACTAACCCTGCACCTGAAATTTTGCAGGTGGCATTCCATAGTTATAAGCATTTAGAGCTATCTCAGTATCCTGAGTTAAGAGAATGGTGGTACAGCCATGGTCAACCTGGAGTGTTTGGTAATTTGAGAAATTTAGGAGTACATAAATGTGACTTTTTATCCGATGTGCTACTGCCTCTAAATTCGGTGCAAGCGCTATCCAACTTAGAGGAGCTTCAAGTAAGTGAATGTGATTCATTGGAAACTGTGTTTGATCTAACCAACATGGATCGAAAGAAGGTCTTTGTTAAGGAGACCATTCAACTAAAGAGAATAACTCTCTCTGGTCTGCCTAAGCTCAAACACATATGGAAACAGAACTTCCAAGAAACTGTCAGTTTTAGAGAAACAACAGAAAGTCATGTCCAACATCACCATCCAGAATGTTCCATTCAGCAGGTATGATATGAGACTGTTGCTTAACTGGATTGAATTACATGTTTTGAACAAATGCAGCATATGTTTAATATTTATTTTTATCATATTTAATCAAAAAATAGGCAGATTCAGAAGATCCAAGAAAAATATGATAATATAGCGTTAGCCACAAGGATTCTGTGTGTGTAATGATATATATATATAAAATAATTGTACGTTATTTTTGGTGCTGAAATCATTGCCTCGTTTTGCAGCCTTGGTGACTTTTGAGTTCTGCCTAGCCTTATTGCTCCTGAATGCAGTATATATGCTTTTTGCTTTTTTGTCAGTTAGTATTTATAAATATTTTGTTTTAATAGATGTGAGATATTAGGGAAAAAATAAAAAAAAATATTGTTCAAATTTTTTTAAGACGCCTATATTGAATAAAAATTTTATGTATTTTTTAAGACTTTAGACAATTGAAACCTTTCTTATTGCCAGAATAAAAGAGATTTATAAACCATAGTAATCTTGCTGCCCGTTGTCGTAAAAGTTTTAAGATCTAAGGATATAATTTCTTCATTACTCATTAGCATGTCAAGTCAGTATTACTACTGTTTTATAATTATTAGTCATGTTTTATGACGTATCTTGTCCGTATTTGACTTGCCGTATTCAAATAGTGTCCATCATTTTGAAACATATCTGTAAATACATGGCAGGTACGTTTCCCCAACTTGGAAACAATGATAATAAAAGGCATGCCAAAGTTGAACACAATATGGCACCCCTTCTTCACCTCAAACTGCTTCGACAGCCTTAAGATGATGCAAGTCTCAGAGTGTGAGAAACTTGAGAATATATTTCCATCATATATGCAGAGAGCATTTGCAAGTCTGGAGACATTGATGGTTAGTGATTGTAAGTCAGTACAGGTCATATTTGAATTCAGCTCCCAAATGGGCAGTGCAGAGGAGACAACACAACTACAGGAACTAACTCTGCTTCGGCTACCAAAGCTGAAACAGATTTGGAGTAGAGATGCTGAAGCAAACCTTCGTTTCCCCAGTTTGCAGACTGTGTGTGTTGAATACTGTGAGACCATGGAATACCTTTTTCCATTTCCATAGCAACGCAAGCTACTCGACTTGAACGTATTACCATAAAGAATGCAGGGAGGATGAAAGTAATTGTTTCAGGCAAAGAAGGCCTCATGGACAGTCCTATTAAATTTGAGTTTAACCACTTGACCTCATTGGTGCTTTGGAATTTATATGAATTGGAGGGATTTTTTGCTGGAAATCATGGTGTACTATGTCCAGTATTAAGCAAATTAGATGTCCGCCTGTGTGTAAAATTGAAGCTCTTCAAGACTCAAAGCACAAGTGACCGAGAAAGACTCTTGGATAGTAAACTCCACATCTCGATGCAACAGTCTCTTTTCACACTCGAAGAGGTACAGCAATAATTATGGGGGGAAAAAAACTTAATTTGTTTAGACACCATAAATATAGCTCAATGCATGCCTTGTTTCATCATAATTTTCTGTATCGTGCAAAATAAAAATAAAAAATCGTGTTTGATTATTTATGCTATTCATCACTTTCTTCCTGCCTCACAATTTTATTTCTTTTATGTTGCTGTGTACAAAATAGTTGATCAACGCTTTCTATCTATGTTGTACGTAGGTGATTTGCAACTTTGAGAGATTGGCGCTAAATAGTGAGGATGCAAGCATGATATTACAAGGGCAATTTTCAGGGGAACACTTCAGCAAACTCAAATTTCTCTGTTTGGCACATTTTGTCGATGAACATGTTATTTTTCCGTATTGGTTTCTCCAAAACATCACCACTCTCGATGAGCTAGTTGTTGAAGGGAGTTCTTTCAAGGAGATATTCCAAGAAGAAATGCCTATAGATCACAAAGAAAAATTTAAAACTAGAACACGACTTAAAGGTTTGATACTCGCTAATTTACATGAACTCCAGCATATATGTAAAGAAGGATTTCAAATAGACCCAGTTCTTGAGGTACTTGAAACCTTAGATGTGGATCAATGTTCCAAATTGAAACACTTAGTGCCTTCCTCCGTAACTTTTAGTCGGTTGACATGTTTGGAAGTGGAAAATTGCAATGGATTGATTCACTTGATTACCTCATCAACCGCAAGAAGTCTGGCCAAATTATCAACATTGAAAATAAAGAACTGCAATTCACTTGAGCAAATTGTGGCCGCAGAAGAGACGGAGGGGTTTGAAGATGAAATTGTATTCACCCGCTTACAAATTTTGGAGCTTGAGTGTCTGCCGATGATCAAAAGGTTTTGCTCTAGTAATTTTGTGCTGAACCTTCCATTGTTGGTGAATGCTGTGGTTAAGCAATGCCCAAGAATGAGGATCTTTTCTGAGAGAGACACAAGCACCCCAATGCTTCATGAGATACTGTCAAAGGAAGAAGATGAAAAGATGTATTGGGAAGGTGACATAAACAGGACAATACACAAGATGTTTGTGGATATGGTACGTTTTGAATTTGACTACAAAATTTCTAATAGACCAGAGGAAGAAGATCATTCTCTACATATAATTACAAACTTTTTCTGACTTACAATGGCAAAATTTTATGGACAAACATTTAAAAAGCCTTATGTTGAGTTTGCTTTATGTATGCTCTTCACCTCTTTTTACCGACCCTGCATCTCGATTTTTGCAGGTTGCATTTCGCAGTTTTAAGCATTTAGAGCTATATCAATATCCCGAGTTAAGAGAATCGTGGCGCAACCATGTTCAACAAGGAGTGTTTGTTAATTTGAGGAATCTAGTAGTGCAGAACTGTGATTTTTTATCAGATGTGCTTCTGCCTTTAAATTTGGTGCAAGCGCTATCCAACTTAGAGGAGCTCCAAGTAAGTGAATCTGAGTCATTGGAAGCTGTGTTTGATCTAACCAATATGGATGGAAAGGAAGTCTTTGTTGAGGAGACCATTCCACTGAAGAGAATAACTCTCTCTAGTCTACCTAAGCTCAAACACATATGGAAAGAGAACTTCCAAGAAGCTGTCGGTTTTAGAGAAACAACAGGAGGTCATATCCAGCATCACCGTCCGGCATGTTCCATTCAACAGGTATGATATGAGACTTGCTGCTTAACCATAATCTGCATTATGTTTTGAGCACATGTCGCATAGATTTAATATTTATTTTTATCATATTTACTCAGTTAAAAAAGGCAGGTTCAGGAGATCCAATAAAACTATGATAATATAGTGTTAGCCACAAGGATTTGGTGTGTGTGTGTGCGCGCGTGAGAAATAATAATTGTACGTTTTCTCTAGTGCTGAATTTATTGCCTCGCTTCGTAGCCTTGGTGGCTTCTGAGTTCTGCCTAGCCTTCATGCTTCTGTAGGCAGTATATATGCTTTTGGTTTTTCTTTTTTCTTTTTTATATTTTATTTATAAATATTCTTTTCTGATTCATGTAAAATGGAAAAAAAAAGTAAAAAAAATATATTGCTCAAATTTTATCTAAGACACGCATAATAAAAACTTTTGTTTGTTTTAATTTGGCTAAATATATGTTTCTCCTTTATGTTTACATTAGGTTTCTTTTGGTCTCTTAAGTTTATAAAATGCATTTGTAGTTCAGCAATCTTAACGCCATTAGTTTTAGGACTAAGGTATAAATTTGCTCCGAAAGTTTTCTTTCAGGTGAGATTTTTTTGGGTACAAATTTGTCCCGAAAGTTTAAAATTGTAGCAATGTCACGACCTATAATTAAAAATGCTAATGATTACATCACTATTTTAATGATTAATGTGAATTTTGCAATGAGAAGGGGCAATACTTCTACTATTTGAAACTTTCAAGGCAAATTTATACAAAAAAAAACTCGTGAGTACTTATCAATCTTGAAGAAGAACTTCTAGTGAAATTTGCACGTTAACCCTTAGTTTAATTTAACAGAAAATGTTGATCCATCAAACTTAGGTGAAGACTGTAAAATTAAATGTTGGCAGAACATACCTACATTTTAATATTTTGAATGTCATATTTTTATTTTGAGAACAATTAATATGTTTAAATTAAAATAAAAATAAATGAGGCAAAAATATAATATTTTTATTTTTTTTGGCTGGTTAATTTTAATTTAAATATAAAAATATTACCTTTTGACAATATAGAATAATATTATATTAAAAACATTAAAGTCCAGGCATTTTTGTTGGTGTTTAATTACACAGTCATCGCTAAGTTTAACGAATCAACAATTTCCATTAAGTGAAACTAAAGATGTGAACACCGAGGGATTAAAAATGCACTTTCTAAACTTAAAAGACCGGAATAAAACATGGTATAAATATAAAACACCAAACATATACTGTAGCCACTTATTTTTAAAGACTTTCTAGACAACCGGAACCTTTTTTTGTTTTTTTTCCCCAGAATAATTGAAGCTTGCTAAACAAGGAGATTTATAAATCATAATAATCTTGCTGCGCGTTGTTGTACATGTTTTAAGATTTAAAAATTTAATTTCTTGATTCATAATGTGCAGGTCAAGTTAGTATTACTGAATTATCATAATTCGTCATGTTTCATGACATATCATGTCTGTGTTTGACTTGCCTTTTTCCAATAAATGGCAGGTACGTTTCCCCAGTTTGCAGCTTGTGTGTGTTGAACACTGTGAGACCATGGAATACCTTTTTCCACTCTCCATTGCAACGCAAGCTACTCGACTTGAACGTATTACCATAAAGTATGCAAGGCGGATGAAAGTAATTACTTCAGGCAAGGAAGGCCTCATGGACAGTCCTATTAAATTTGAGTTTAACCACTTGACCTCATTGGTGCTTTGGAATTTATATGAACTGGAGGGATTTTTTGCTGGAAATCATGGTGTACGATGTCCAGTATTAAGCGAATTAGATGTCCGCTATTGTGTAAAATTGAAGCTCTTCAAGACTCGAAGTACAAGTGGCCGAGAAAGACTCCTTGATAGTAAACTCCACATCTCAATGCAGCAGTCTCTTTTGACACTCGAAGAGGTACAGCAATAATTATGGGGAAAAGAAACTTAATTTGTTTAGACACCATAAATATAGCTCAATGCATGCCTCGTTTCGTGATAAGTTTCTATATTGTGCAAAATAAAAAACAATCATGTTTGATTATTTATGCCATTCATCACTTTCTTCCTGCCTCACAATTTTATTTCTTCTATGTTGTTGTGCACAAAATAGTTGATCAACGATTTCTATCTATGTTGTACGCAGGTGATTTTCAACTTTGAGAGATTAGCGCTAAATAGCGAGGATGCAAGCATGATATTACAAGGGCAATTTTCAGGGGAACACTTCAGCAAACTCAAATTTCTCTGTTTGGCACATTTTGTCGATGACCATGTTATTTTTCCGTATTGGTTTCTCCAAAACATCACCACTCTCGATGAGCTAGTTGTTGAATGGAGTTCTTTCAAGGAGATATTCCAAGAAGAAATGCCTATAGATCACAAAGAAAAATTTAAAACTGGAACACGACTTAAAGGTTTGATACTCGCTAATTTACATGAACTCCAGCATATGTGTAAAGAAGGATTTCAAATAGACCCAGTTCTTGAGGTACTTGAAACCTTATGTGTAAATCAATGTTCCAAATTGACGCACTTAGTGCCTTCCTCCGTAACTTTTAGTCAGTTGACATGTTTGGAAGTGAAAAATTGCAATGGATTGATTCACTTGATTACCTCATCAACCGCAAGAAGTCTGGCCAAATTATCAACATTGAAAATAAAGAACTGCAATTCACTTGAGCAAATTGTGGCTGCAGAAGAGAAGGAGGGGTCTGAAGATGAAATTGCATTCAGCCGCTTACAAATTTTGGAGCTTGAGTGTCTGCCAATGATCAAAAGGTTTTGCTTCTCCAATTACTTCTTAAAATTTCCGTTGTTAAAAGAAGTGGTCATTGAGCAATGCCCAAGAATGAACACCTTCTCAGCTGGGAGAGACACAAGCACACCAAAGCTTCGAAATATATCATCAAAAGAAGAAGATGGAAACGTGTATTGGGAAGGTGATCTGAATAAGACAATAAACAAGATGTTTACGGACAAGGTATGTTTTGATTTCACCGGAAAATCATTCTTTATTCCCCTGATATACGATGAGAAAATGGTATGAACAAATTGTCAGAAAAGCCAATTGTTTTTGTAAAATGAAAAATGATTGTGAAAATATCTTTAATTTTTATTGTAAATATTTATTTTCATGATTGTATAGCTTTTATTAGCCTTTATTATTCACTTCTCCTTTTGCTCGGCACATCCGTTTGGATATATCTTAACTTTTATATGAATTGAAAAATACAAATTTCTCATGTAATCCAGAATCACATATTGGTGCCATTGCCATAAAAGCTTTAATGAAATGAAGATGAGGCTGTGTTTAGGTTTGAGTTAGACATTTTTATCCTTTTTATTTCTGCTAACATGATAGTTAGTTAATACTTTGAATGAATAGTATTAATTTTATTAGCTGAAAGTAACAAAATGTCATTGTTTAATTTGTTTCGCTGCCCTTCTTGTCTTTTCCCTTGCCTTTGTAATTATTTGCACAGGTGGCATTTAGTAGGTTCAGTCTTTTGGAATTTTCTGTATATCCAGAACTGAAAGAACTATGGTATGGCCAAGATGGGCCAAATATATTCCGTAATTTGAAGCATCTAGTGGTGCGAAAATGTACATTCTTGTCCAACGTGATTTTTTCATCAAATTTACTACGATTGATATATGCATTAGAGGAACTGGAAGTATCAGAGTGTGATTCATTGGAAGTGGTATTTGATGTAAATGCATTGGATGAGAACGCAAAAGAATCAAAGGAAGTTAGTCGGTTGAAGAAATTAACACTCTCTGCGCTTCCAAATTTGAAATGCATATGGAGCAGGGAAGCAAGAGAAATAATCAGCTTTGAAAATTTACAGATGGTGAAAGTTGATAAATGCCAACACCTGAAATGTTTGTTTTCGGTATCACTTTGCCAAGACTTGAGGCGACTTGAAGAGCTTGACATTGAGTCTTGTGGTGTTGAGGAGATTGTTTCAATTGAAGAAGGATTTGAGGAACTCAAGTTTGATTTTCCTCGTTTAACAAGCTTGACGCTGTGGAATCTGACGCAGCTCACTAATTTCTATCCAAAAAGATATACTCTAGAGTGTCCTTCGTTGAAGGAGTTAAATGTTCGTGGATGTGAGGAATTGCAAATATTTGCATTTGACCATTTGAATTCCCAACCGTTTAGGGTGGGTGACAATGAGTCGCAAATTGAACAAGCTTTGTTTCATATTGAAAAGGTAGGTATCCCTTTTTTTTTTTTTTTTCTTCTATCTGTCTTTTTTTTTACCAGAATTTCTTCTGTCTGTCTTTAATTACATTTTTTTCTCCAGACAAAAAGATGCATGATTGAGGAAAACTATAATTATGTATGTGGTTTGTAAAAGTATAAAAAAATGTTTTATGTTAACTTATTAGTAGATTATATGATGAAAGAAACAAATTATATTTTCTCTTTTTCAGGTGTCTCAAAATTTGGAGGAGTTGCCATTAAATGAAAAGGACACTATGAGGATATTGAATGGCAACTATGAGAAAAATCTCTTTCAGAGCATCAAAACGCTTCGTTTGCAATATTTTCAGGGAACTCCAATAAAATTTCTGAATGATTTAATCCAAATATTTCCAGCTATAAACACACTACAAGTGCGTTGCAGTTCTTTTGAAACACTCTTTCATTCGGAAGAAATTAATCATTGTTGTATTGGAAGCCCCACCCAAATTAAAATGTTGTGGCTATTTCAATTGGAGAAGCTTGAGCATATATGGAATGATGACAACTCAACGTCACATCCCCTGGTTCAAAACCTTGAAGAAATGTGTATAGCGCAATGTTCTAAGTTAAGAAGATTGGCACCACCTTCGGCATCTTTTGCAAGTTTAATCACCTTGGAAGTAGAGGATTGCAATGACTTGATGTACTTCATGACATCTTTCATGGCTAAAAGTCTTGTCCACCTCTCAAGTTTAACAGTTAGCAATTGTGGAATGCTAGAGGAGGTTGTGACGACTAATGAAGGGGGATCAGACGAAGAAATCATATTTGAAAGCTTGAAGGATTTGGAGCTAACTTGTCTATCACGTTTCAAAAGCTTTTGCTCTGGGAAACACACCTTCATATTCCCCTCTTTGTTGTTAATGGAAGTGACAGGATGCCCCAAAATGCAAAATTTCTCATCTGGAATCATTATTGCCCCATTTCTAAAATCAGTGACAGTGGAAAATGGGAAAAGACGCTGGAAAGAAGACCTTAACACCACCATCCACCATTTGTTCACAGAGGTATGTATGCTAAAAAATAAATTCTGAGATGATTGACACTCCTGTAATATCGTGTATGTGTCTCAACCTCCATTTTTAAAATCTAAAGAACTAAATTTAGATAATATTTTGCTGCAGCAAAATATGATTGACTGAAAAAATATGTAAAACTTAAACACAGTCAAATGAAAACTTAAATATGGGTAAAAATATTGAATGTAAATGTGCGTTGCCGTCAAGATATAATATCTTGTGTGCCTACCTTAATCAGGCAACTCGAGAAGGAGACGAAGGGAACTATAAGGAATCTTCAAGTGATATTACCAAAAGCAGTCAAACTCATCAAATGAGTGCCAGTACTACCACAGCATCAAGCTCTGGGGAGCAAGTAGGACAATGGAAGCCTAATCAAATTGCAGACATTGGGAAGCAAGAAACACACAAACTTCCAAGTCAATCTTATGACAAAGAGCTGAATGAGCAAGCCTCGTCAGGTACTGAGAGGCCTTTGGCTCCGGTTACTCAAATTGCCTCCAGCCCTTCTACAAATCAAGAAAAAGGTATTGAGATTGCCTTGCACTCTGCTATTTGCCATAAATAATCACATGTTTCTTTGACTTTGGCCTTAATTTCTTTTACAGGTTTGAGTGTATTAGGTATTTATCACTATCACTATCCTTTGGTATATTTAATGACTGATTTCTTGTGTTTAGTAGAGTGCTTAGTGACACTTTGTTATCATATTCATTGGCTTGATTATTTTTTTTTTTTTGGTGAGATACTGCACATTCTGATTTTTATAATCCGAAATAATTGACAGCACTAGAAAACTTCTGAAGATGCCAAATCGTTTAGTTAAATGACCACCTTTAGTATTAGCCACAGAGAACATACATAAATAATTTCTTTCACGTGTAACAAAGAAGGAATTTATTAATTATTTTATCTAAAAACCTCATGCCATTCTACATTAAATTTCTCCCCAGTCTGAGAGGAGCTTTGTTTAGGTTCCTTGAAACAGAGCTCTACGTTTTTTTAATTAATTATTGATTCTAATATGCTATTACGGGAATTGAAAACTAATAGAGGAATCACAAGACTCACAGACTCAATCTAGCAAGAATCTATTCAAGCAAGCTACAACTGTCAACAATAAAGAAAGTAATGTTTTTCTTTCTTCCTCTTCTTTTGGTTTTATTTTTCTTCGCAATGTTTAGATGTAAGATATTTTTTATTTTGTTAAAATGTTATATCATTCTATTTACTCTCAATTTTTTAAAACTAACAGGTTTAACTAAGGGGACTGAAGAGATGGGTGAGAACATTGAAAGGCCATTGGTTGAAGCTGCTAAAAGTGCTCTTAGCCCCACAGGAGTTTGTGATGCAGGTACTGATATTATTTTAACATGTGACAGATTATCTAAATTGCTTCTTATAGGGTAATGCATGTCCATTATAGTACTTGGCTTATTAATTTTTTCTGACTTTCTTTTATGCGAATTGAAATATATTAGAGGAATTACAAGGCTCAAAAATCGTCCACGTTAAAATTTGATCATCCGGACCACATTACTATATTGTAATTGAAATATCATCACTCTGCTTTGGTACATTCCATGACCTTCTTTCTTCTGCAGAAAGTTCAACCACACATTTTTATTGCACTGATCATAGGCATAGTTCATTTGGAGAAATTATCCTTACTTGCTATCATGGGAAATAAAATCAACTACAGAAGAATCAGACTTAAAATTTCCCATTTCTGAGAATTTTCTTAATCAGATCTTCACCACCATTGTTATCGCTCTTGTTAGAGGGAAGGAAATTATTTTTATTTTGTTAAAACCTCATGTCAAATAATTTGTATTATAGTATTAGTATTTTTATTTATTCACCAAAAGACCATTGGTTATAACTATTAAAGGCACCAATTTCTACTGCATTTCAGGATCCATGGGTTCACCTTGTTGTAGTACTCATTTTCATAATTAATGTTTCTAACTTCTTATCATGTGAGAAATCTTTTGAAAATATCATGTGACTTGGAAATTTGGCATCCTATAAGTTCGTCCACCCAGGCCTCATGTATGTCCTTGCTTTTTTTTTTTTTTTTATGCTGCATTCTTTTGCCTAATTAACTACCATAACCTTATATCGTGCCAACTAAAATATACCAGAGAAAAAGCGTTCAAATGACTTCTCGTCTTTTAAATTTTAGAAGCTTTTTTTCCCTTTACAATGCCTTGCGTTATTTTGTTTGCTAAGCTTATTTGTTTGGCTTTTTGACTCCAGAGGTGAATGAGACTACCGAGAAACCCTTAATTCAAGCTGCGCAGGAAGCACAGAGACCAGCTGTAGTACAGGACATAGGTCCTAATACTGTTTTGATGGATCTTGATCTAATACTCTTGCTTAATTAATTCTTTATTTTGAATTTCTATCATGTTAACTGAAATTTGCTAGAAGAATCACAGGAGTAAAAAACTAGTTCTAGAAAAAATTTGTTCAACCTACCCAAAACTTTTGTGACTAGTGACAAAAAAAAAGTAACGGATTTATTTCTCTTCAGAAAGAAGTAATTTATTTTTATTTTGAAAAAAACTCTTTTCTCATAAATTTTTTGTTGTTGTTTTTTTAGCTGTTGGAACTCAAGAGATTGATGACACCATGGACAAATCCTTGATTCAGACTGACCAAGATGCAGAGAAACTTGCCACAACACAAAATACAGGTTCTTATCCTGTTTTGTATCTTTTTCTTTTTTGGGTATTATTCTTTGGATGAACTAACAAGTCTGTTATCATGTTA